TTCCCTTGACCGGAATCGAACCTGGGACCTTTCAGTCCGCAGGCCCATGCTCTATCCACTGAGCCAAACTGGTTTCGGCGATGAGTTTAAAGTTTAATTTTTTAAGACTCTCCTGTCGCGTAAGACTCCCTCCATGTTCTGTATGGAGTAGGGTTCGGTATCTGAAAGAGGAGCCACACACAAATGAGAGAGAAATGACAGGAGATAATTTTGCAATATTGGGGGACCAGGCGGGCAAGTCCGGAAGGACTTCCAGGCGGGCAAGCCCGGAAGGACTTCCACCGATGCTCAGGCCTCTCCAACCTTTTATTTGGACTGGGGTAGCCCTAGGTTAAGGAGGTTTGTCTGGGGTAGCCCTAGGGTAAGGAGGTTTCAATGACACAAAGACTAGGTCATAACATGACCCTTAGGCAATTTACATGATTAAAGGTAGGGAGGTTGCTTCAGCTACCATTATCTATTAACTGGGTGGTATCTAGATTAACTGGGTGGTACACAGCCCTGACCTATGCTAGGGCTTCAAGGTTACTAACTTTTGGGGGTCTCTGTCTATACTCAGCTAGTGAAGACAATAAATAGACTCCGGCACTCTCCCTGATGCATTTTTAGATGTGTCCCCTATTTTATTATACTCTGCTTATTTATTTGTACTTTTCACATTTATGTCTTTTCATTTCTAATGGTCTTTTCTAAGAATCAGGTTTTAGAATAATTTCTATTAGGTGTTAGGTGTGTGTGTGTAATTATTTATGAATATTCTGTGCTCTTGTCTTCCGGTTTAGCTTTTAAACTTCCTTGAGGAAACTTTCCGCTACAGTAGGGTGAGGAGCCATCCAGGCACTCCAGCCTGTGATCCAGGAGAAGCCTCAGAGACTCTAACACTCCAACTGAGGAGAATCACAGTGCTGGAGGCTGAGACCCGCTCCCCCCCACCCCCACCTCAAAGTGTCTGCTCCTGAGCCACACCTGCCAGGCTGAAAAACACAGTTTACAAGTCAACACTTTTGGCCTGGAGCATGGAGACGGGACCCGGAGCGGGAGCTACGTCGGGGGGTGGCACATTGGAGGCGGCCATGGCAAAGCAGTACAACTCAGTGGTGTTCCCCTTTTGTGATGAGGTGACCAAATATGAGGTGCTCACTAAGATCGGCCATGGCACTTTTGGGGAGGTGTTTAAGGCAAAGCATCGCCTGACCAGCCAAAAGGTGGCTCTGAAGAAAGTCCTGTTGGAGAACGAGAAGGAGGGGTTCCCCATCACGGCCTTGCGGGAAATCAAGATCCTCCAGCTTCTAAAACATGAGAATGTGGTCAACTTGATTGAGATGTGTCGAACCAAAGCTTCCCCCTATAACCGCTGGAAAGGCAGTATATACCTGGTGTTTGACTTCTGCGAGCATGACCTTGCTGGGCTGCTGAGCAACAAGTTAGTCAAGTTCACACTGTCTGAGATCAAGAAGGTCATGCAGATGCTGCTCAATGGCCTCTACTACATCCACAGGAACAAGATCCTGCACAGGGACTTGAAGCCAGCTAACGTGCTCATCACCCGAGACGGGGTCCTGAAACTGGCAGACTTTGGGCTGGCCAGGGCCTTCAGTCTGGCCAAGAACAGCCAGCCCAACCGCTATACCAACCGTGTGGTGACACTCTGGTACCGGCCCCCGGAGCTATTGCTGGGGGAGCGGGACTACGGCCCCCCCATTGACCTGTGGGGGGCTGGATGCATCATGGCGGAGATGTGGACCCGCAGCCCTATCATGCAGGGCAACACGGAGCAGCACCAGCTTGCCCTCATCAGCCAGCTCTGTGGCTCCATCACCCCTGAGGTGTGGCCAAATGTGCACAAGTACGCGCTGTTTGAGAAACTGGAGCTAGTGAAGGGCCAGAAGCGGAAGGTGAAGGATCGGCTGAAGGCCTATGTGCGCGACCCCTATGCACTGGACCTCATCGACAAGTTGCTGGTGCTGGACCCTGCGCAGCGCATCGACAGCGACGATGCCCTCAACCATGACTTCTTCTGGTCTGACCCCATGCCCTCAGACCTCAAGGGCATGCTCTCCACCCACCTGACATCCATGTTCGAGTACCTGGCGCCACCACGCCGGAAGGGCAACCAGATCACCCAGCCTTCCACTCACCAGAGCCGCAATCCCACCAACCCCAACCAGACGGAGTTCGAGCGTGTCTTCTGAGTGGCGGCGCTGCTGCTGCTTTTCCTGAGGGCTCTGTCTTCTGCTCTGTGACTCGCGCTGTGGAGACAATGGGGCATTTGAGTTTTTTCTCCAGTGCATATTTCGTCTTATCCCCACCTGGGCACTGGGAATGCCATCTGAGTGGACTGGAGTAAAGCTTTGGCTCCATGTCCAGGAAGGCAGTGAGGCCGCCTCCCTGGTTCCCTGGCTCTGGAGAATGTCCAGAGCGTCTCCACGTATCTTAGGACAGGGATGAGGTGGGGGAGAGGGGCACCCGACCAGTATCTTTCTAGGTTCCCAGCATGATGGGAGGAGGGACAGGTCCTCACCCATTCCCGGTTTTTCTCTTGGCCTAAGCAACTTGCATGGGGGACACCAGCCTGGAACATGGGCTGCTCTTGGCCTGAGCTCAGAGGCACTGGGGCTGCCAAAAACCTGGTTTCCTCAGCAGGAGAATTTTATCACAGCACCTCCCAGCCAAGCAGCAATCTGGGCTGGCCCTCTCCACAGTCAAGATGCTTTATCTCCTAGAAAAGACGCATTTCTTAAGCTGCCAGATGTTTCTACTACTATGACAAGCAGGGCTCCCAGTTGCTAGCCAAACGGACCTCCCCATTGGGCAGCTGCCCTGGAATGCTGTGGTACCTCTCAGGCATTCTCAGCCCACTCCTAGATGCCATGGACACGGCTGGTTTTGATATCACCTTCAGGATCCCTCCCCTGCCATAGTGTGCCTTGATAAGGAGAACATTCTCAGGTGTTCTAAACTAAATTACAGCAGGAGATGATAGATAGAAAGATAGATAGAAAGATAGATAGATAGATGAATAGATAGATAGATAGATAGATAGATAGATAGATGATAGATAGATAGATGATAGAGCTCAGATTCCTAAGACCCTGGTTTCCACTGGACCCTGGTTCCCACTGGACATGCTGCAGCCACAACTTTCCACTGGACCCTGGTTCCCACTGGACATGCTGCAGCCACAACTGAGCCCAGCAGCTTCTCTTACTCGGCAGTTCAGTCTGTCAGCCAGTACTGCCTCGGGGATGTTTGTAATTTGTTAAATAATATGTTTGTATTAATTTTATACAGAGAGAACGGGAGAGGAATAAGAGATAGACACATCTAACTCCAGGAGTCTCTGCTTGTTTACACGTGGGCTTTCTGGACCACTGCCCACAGCCAGTCTCCAGGAGCACACCTTTCTTCATTCAAATTCTGCTCCTATCCCAGAACTGGCCTCCTCCTTCTCTCACCCTTTTGCCTATAGGTCATGTAAATTTCTTTTAGATTAACTCTTTTTGTCTCTCCCCCCCCCCCGCCCCTGCCCATTTGATGTATAAAAAGCTTGCAATACTCTGGGACAATGGGCATGTTTTTTCTACCATGCTGCTGGAGGATTGGACTCCATGCCTCAAGACGGGACTTGCTTTTGGTGAGCATTTCAACTAATAAAACCTTACTTACAAAAAAGATTTTCAGCCCTGGAAGTGAAATTTTTGTCATCAGCCTCTAGCCTCCACAATTATATGGGGGCAGCATTAGGTGATTCTGAGAACCTAGCCTCTGAGTCACTGCACACGCTAAAAGCTACATCTGAGCCCAGGAGCTTTCTCTCTCCTGCAGCTCTGACTCACCTACTCCCAGGTCACTGCTCAGGCCTCTGCTCATACCTGAAACTAGTCCCTTACCCAATGAGTCTGTCAGTCAGTACTGCCTTAGGGATGTTCATAATTTTTTTTAAAAAATATGCTTTTTTGCCCCACCCTCACAGTTCACTGTTTGAGCACCTACCCATGAACTTTGTTAATGTAAAAAAACCATTGAAACCTGTACAGAATTTTTGTGAGTTTATTTGAGCTAAACTGTCCACATATGCCGGGAAGCAGAACCTCAATGAATTGAGATAATGCTCCGGAGAATGGAGGGTTACATCTGTATTTATACATTGCAATCAAAGGAAAGGGATGTAGGTGGGTTACATGAAATTCATTGGTGATAGATTAAGGAGGTGGGATTAAGCAAAGCAGGGAAACCCCTGGGATAGGATAAAAAGTGAAATGATGGACATGTGCTTCTCTTACACAGATGGGTACAGGGTAGCTTAACATAATTAACAGTTGACAATTAACTTGATAACAATAACAAGAGGGAATGTCCTGGTGCCATTTGTTGTGCCCTGAGGGGTCCGGGGATAAAAAGGAAGTTACAAGTTACCCAGACATCTCGCAGATATGTTATCTTAGAGGCAAAAAGGCTAATGGGCTCAGTAAGGACCAAAGTTGATCTTTGTCAGGGAAAATATCCGCTTAGGACATGACTACCCACTATAACCTGTTTGTAGTTAAATATTTAATTTTCAGACCTCCTTTTGTGGTTATTTTAGGTCTCTGAGTTTGCAAGACTGCCTCGCAGGCCTCCCCTGAGCTTGTCAGGTTAGCATGTGGCTCCTTTCATCCACAACTCGCAAGTGGTGGTTTGATCCCCAGTCAGGGCACATGCTAGGGTTCAGGGCTTGATCCCCAGGAAGGGGCATGCAGGAGGCAGCCGGTCAATGATTCTCTCTTATTGATGTTTCAATCTCTCTTTCCCTCTCCCTTCCTCTCTGAAATCAATAAAATCATATTAAAACAATGAATAAATAAAACTATGTTTTTATTGATTTTAGAGAGAGAGAAAGTCAGGATAGAGAGATAGAAATGTCCATTAGAGAGAATCATAGATCGGCTACCTGATCCCACTGAGGATGGAGCCCACAATCCAGACATGTGCCCTGACTGGGAACGGACCCGGGGGCCTCTTTAGAAGCCCTGGGCACCGTCACTGCTGGCAGCCTGAGCAGAGCTTCCTCTTTTCCCACCTGAGCGTCTCCTCCCCCACATCCCAGCTCCAGGCCCCCAGGCGATGCCCATGATGATGAAGAAGGTCTGAGAAGGCGGCTCCCCTCTCAGGGTCAGGGGCTCAGGCAGCCCCTTGTGCTGCACATGGCACGTGTATTTCTGCTCCTCTCCAGGGGGTACCCCCACGGCTGCGGCCGCCCACTTCTGGAAGGTCCCATCCCCGCAGGCCCAGTCCACCAGCTGCATGTCCTGGGTCTGGTCCTCCCCGTCACGCTGCCAGGTCAGGGCGATGTCCGCAGGGTAGAAGCCCAGTGCCCAGCACCTCAGGTTGACCTCAAGGTCAGAGATGGGGCGGTGGGTCCCGTGTGCCTTTGGAGGGTCTGCACGCTGCAGGGTCTCCTTCCCTTTTTCCAGGTAAACGCCCCCTCCCGGGGACCTGACCTTTGGAGCACTTCACAATGGACTTTCCCTTTTGCTCAGACCACATTCCACTTGCTAAGACCATTATCTCCCCCTCAGGACCCGCCCAGGGAATGCTCCACCCAGAAAAAGCCCCCCTAGAGTCCTTTAAAATCTCTGACTCCCTGTCCATAGGTGTTGGCCCCAATTTGGGACTCAGCCTATCTGGTTTTCCAGATGACCTCATAAATTCATAATTTTTTACCCCTTTTGGCTTCTTGCATTGCTCCTTTGGCGGCCCTCACAATAACTTTTTATAATAAACCTGTGTAACATGGTAAGTGAAATGTTCTCTGAATTCTGTGAGATGCTCTAACAAATTAATAAAACCCAAGCAGGTGGCCAGGAACCCCTGATTTATAGCCAATGGGTCAGAAGTTCCTGGGCTTGTGACTGGCATCTGAAGGCAGTGGTCGGGTGGGGGCAGTGGCAATTTTGTAGAACTCAGCCCTGTAGTTGTGAGATCTGATGCTGTCTCCAGGAATGTAGTATCAGAACTGAGCTGAACTCTGGGACAAGCTGACGGTGCCCTGACATTGTTGGTGTTGATGTGAGGACAAACCTTGGCCACACATCGGAATTGGATGTTCAGAGGCCTCTTTTACTTCGTGTTGTGCAAGACAAAAACCAACAACATATAAAATAGACAAGCTTAAGGATACAGAAAGCTTAAACCACAAGAACAATAAGGTAGAATTTATGTACCTGGTAATAGAATGCTCCCTTTTGTAATGTGCTAATGATCTGATCAATCACAAAATTAATAGTATAACTAATATTAGGTTGAAGAGAAAACATTCATAAATTCCAAAGCAGAGAAAAAAATCAGGCTTCTTAATTTCCATGCAATAAAAGTATACATTATTGTTAAAAATCAGAAACTACGGAAGTCTTTGTTTTTGGAAAGTTAAATATTTTCAATGGACTGACTTGTAGGTTACAGGAACAGATGTAGGTTGCAGGAAACAGGGAACCAGAAAATTTGTTAACTCTATGAACTCTGGAGCCATACCGCCTGGTTTTGAATTCCAGTTTAACTTATATCAGTTTGTGTGACCTTAGAAAATTACTTCATTTCATGGTGACTCAGTTTCCTCAATGTAGCTGGTCAAGTGGAATGAAGTTAACTAGAGGAGGACGTTCTGCCAAGAAAAGGCAGGGGCCTGCAACCGGGCCACGTCAGAACAAAGTCTTGCATGCAAGATTTATTGTTCAGAGGTAGAATTTCCTTGAGGTGATAAATAGTCCATGTGGGCATGGAAAGCCAGGGAGGATACACTGCTGCAGGTTGAAAGGGACTTTGTATAACATAGGAAATTAATAGTTTATGTATAACTTAGCTCAGATGATCTCATAGGCATGCCTGTTTGTCATTGTCACTTGCTGTACTCCCCAATAAAAGCCATGAGAGCCTTGGAGGCTTTGCTACACACCTGAGCGAGCAGTAGCCCTCTGCTTCTCTAGCTCAATCCTGCTTGCCGAACTCATCTCAGCGTCACCGTTCACCTGCAGAACACCTGCACTCATCTGTAAAATGGGTATAGTAATCGCATCAACCTCATATGATTAGTATGACAGTTCTATGAGTTAATATTTGTAAAGCGCTAAAATGGATGTCTAAAACATAATAAGCATTATGGAAATGTTTTTAGATTTCAAAATGAATGAAATACACATAACAATAGGTGTGATCAGTTAAAATAGGATTGAGGAAAATTTTCAGTCTTATCAATGAGATTAACTGGATTAAGCTTCTGTCTCATAAAATCAGGAAAAAACAAACTTACCTAAAGTAGCAGGAAGAAATTAATAAAAACATATGCAGAAATTAATGAGTAAGAGAAATTATAAAATAATATAACTGGGAAATAAACAAAAAGCTCAAATAATATAGATACTTTTTCTAGAAAAAATGAACGAAACCTGATTTCAGAAGTTAAAAAACTTCTATGTAAGAAATATCGAAAGACATCAAAAGATCTGCCTTTTCCAAAACCACCAGTACCAGACAATTCCACAAGGAAATGTGGGAAACCTTTGAAGAGCAAACGTTTCCAAATCTATTTGACATAGGAAAAAAATGTCAAAGTTTTAAAGTAAACACAATGTTGATAGAAAAAAATTGAAGAATTGCATGAGAAAAATTAATAAAGCTATTTATGAATAATTAGCTAATACAATCTAACTACATTAAAAGAATAATATCATGACTAAATGGGTTTATTCCAGGAAGGCAATGATGCTTTAAAATAAGGAAATCAGTCACATAACTTATTCTATTAGTAGATCCAAGGAGAGAGTTATATGACCATTTTCAGGTGCTGATAGGTATTTGACAATATTCAACTGTCTTGTTTTAAACACATCCCCACATAGGAACCAATGGATACTTCCTTAAAATGAAAACATTTTCTCTATTTATATAGTTAGCTATTTTAGCCCCAAAGCCAGCATTTTACTTAAGAGTGAAATATTTGAGCCCTAGCTGGCTTGGCTCAGTGGATAGAGTTTCGTACTGGGGACTGAAAGGTCCCAGGTTCGATTCCTGCCAAGGGCAGATGCCCTTGTTGGGGGCTCAATCTTCAGTAGGGGGCGTGCAGGAGGCAGCCAAGCAATGATTCTCTCTGATCATGGATGTTTCTATCTCTCCCTCTCCCTTCCTCTCTGAAATCAATAAAAAAAAAATATTTTTAAAAAGGGTGAAATATCTGAGACATTTCTGCAAGTAATTAAAATAGTTATCATTATTTATTGTTAGCTATTATTGTTAATCTCTTCCTGTGCCTAATTTATAAATAAACTTTATTATAGATATGTCTAGAAAAATACAAAGTATATTTTGGGCATTCACTGCGGGTCTTAGAACCCCCGTGGATAAGGAGGAACTACTGTCACCACTTAGTAAAAATTGGGGTCAGTATTCAAATCCAACTAACCAATTAATGCTATTTCTGTACTTGTCTTATCTTCCCTATGGAAATGAACATTTTTTCAAAACAGTCTAAATCTTGAGTTTTTAAAATTCTCTATTCAAACTATCTCAATACCTTAAGCATTATAATAACTCAATTCATATTTTTTAAAAATATATCTTCATTTATTTCAGAGAAGAAAGGAGAGGAAGAAAGAGAAAGAAACACCAATGATGAGAGAATCATTGATTGGCTGCCTCCTGCATGTCCCACATGGGGGATCGAACCCGCAATCTGGTCATGTGCCCTGACCAGGCATCAAACCACGACCTCCTGATTTATAGATCAATGTTCAACCACTGAGCCATATTTCATATTTATTTGAATAAATGATTAAGTGAAATTATCTAGCTGGAGTTTCTCATCTCTCTCTTTCCTGACTGGAAATATCTCTGGATCCTCATCTTTTGTGGCTTTTAATTTTAAGTTTAATTCTATTTTGAATTACAATGAGTAGCCATAGGATTGGATTAGGATATGCCTGATTGGATTAGAATATTATTGACCTATCAGCCTATTCCCTTTTAGGATGGCTCCAAGTGAGAAAACACTTTCAGATTAGTGGAAGGTAGGTTATGTATTATTCCATTCTTTATTTTTTTCCTTGTTAAATGTGAAATTGATAGAAAGAGAGAACTTTCTCTGTTAAAAGTTTAAAGCATTTAGTTTTTAATTGTGGGAACATTTTTTACTTTTACCTTAGAAGTTGTGATAGATGGAGTTTCCATTTCTCCTAAATTAAAATTGAATATATGTATTGATTTCATTAAAAAATATATATATACACATATACATATACACACATATACATATGCACCTATATCTTTGGCTAGTTTTGCTATGTTGTCATGTTGAAAGTTTTAAAGAAAAATTTTTTTAAATTTTTGTTTGTTGATATTTAGAGAGACAGAGGAAGAGAGAGAGAGAGAGAGAGAGTGAGAGAGAGAGAGAGAGATTTGTTGTTCCACTTATTGATGCATTCATAGGTTGCCTCTTGTATGTGCCCTGACCAGAGATTGAACCTGAAACCTTGGTCGTATCAGGATGATGCTCTAACCATCTGAGCTATTTGGCCAAGGCTGTTAAAGGAAGATTTTTATGAAGAAAAAAAAATATTTTTATTTTATGGGAAACTGAGGGAGTAGACCAGAGTTGGACATAAATGGTTTTGGAGGATGTTGACAGATTAGATAGGGATGGTGCTGAGTGAATTCAATTTTTGATGAAACACATAGAGCCAGACAGGCAATCCATGCTGCTTCATTTTGAGGTTGCGTCCAAAGGGAAAGCATGTTTTTGGATCTTGGAAAACGTTCATGTAAAATTGAGATTTCATATTATTGGACAATTGCCTTTTTATTCCTCCACCTTTTTTTTAATATTTATACCATGGAATATTATGCAGCAGTAATAAAGAAGAATCTCTTACCCTCTGAGACAGCATGGAGGACCTGGAGAGTATCATGTGAAGTGAAATAAGCCAGTCAGAGAAAGACAAGTATCCCATGATCTCACTCATATGTGGAATCTAAGTAACAAAATAAACTGATGAACGGAGTGGACCCAGAGACATGAAAGCATGGAACAGTGTGTGGAATCTCAGAGGGAAGGAGGGGGAGGGTGGGTGGGAGGAATCAACCAGGACCTTGTATGCATATGTGCATGGCCCATGGACACAGATGAGGCCATGCATATATGGGGTGGTCAGGGCCTGGGGCAGGGGGCGGGCTGGAGGGGGTTAATGGGGGACAAAAGGGGACATATGCAATATTTTCAACAATAAAGAATTATTTTTTAAAAGAGAATTAAGGATTGGCAAAAAGATGTTCAAAAGAGATTAAAGCAAGACTACATTTAAAGTGGAGTCTAAAATGTTTAAATCTTTACCTTTTGTTTTGGTGATTATTTTTTTATTTTACTTGGTCAAATTTTCAGTTTATTGAGGCATTTATGGGGTTTTGTGTATTTTCATATTCAGCTTTCAAATAAATACTTTCACTGAAAATAGTTTTCTTTAGTGAGATGATAAAACAAGGTTGACTAGCAGTGATAAAGAACATTTTGGAGCATGTGGTTGATCAATTACATTGGACCTGATTGAATAAAATTATTTTTTGATTCTCATCTATCATACTAAGATTTTTTAATGAACTGTCAATGAAAATATCCCATTTGTTTTCTGCTGAATCTTGTATGTAGTTTCTGAATGAATTGGCAAACTGGGAGATATTTTTATAATTGTAGTTACTTTAAGAGTTCAAGTTTGAATAGTTGGTGCTGTGTGACATAGGTGAGATGTTTTTTGTTGTGGTGGTTAATATTTATGTGTTCAATAATAGTAGTTTCATGCAGTTCTCTAGCAACCTTAGCTGTATTCAGAACAGACTTTGGGATTTGGGGAGTTTGGTGCTTATTAATTTAAAACCATAGCATCTGAGGAACATGGCATCTAGACTCTAAGATTTAAAATAATGACATTTCATCCAGTTGTGAAAAAATATATGTCAAAAATATATTGTTTACATGGAATCCACAGACAGAGCAGGCCTAGCTAAGAAACTCAAAACCAGGAGTCCATAGCATTGTAATGTCCACTTCTGTCCAGCAGGTGGCGGGGGTTGGTGTTCCAGGAAAAATCCCCAGGTTTTGGGGAAAAGCTGAAAGTATCTGACCCAGGCACCTAGGATTTTGAGGATTTGGAGTGAAAATATTTGAAGAAACCTTTATACAATCACGTTATGTCATTTTAAAATAATCAGTGACTCTATATGTGATAAAAACGCTGGGAACCATCCAGTACCTACTGGAGCAGGAGTGTGGAGTGTCGCTTGGCACACGGAGGACATGGACCTTTACAGCATCAACTACCTGCACTTCGGGGAGCCCAAAACGTGGTACGCGGTGCCCCCAGAGCACGGCCAGCGCCTGGAGCGCCTGGCCAGGGAGCTTTTCCCGGGCAGCTCTCGGGGCTGCCAGGCCTTCCTGCGGCACAAGGTGGCCCTCATCTCGCCCACTGTCCTCAAGGAGAACGGGGTCCCGTTCAGTCGCATCACTCAGGAGGCTGGAGAGTTCATGGTGACCTTTCCCTATGGCACCACGCTGGCTTCAACCATGGCTTCAACTGTGCGGAGGCCATCAACTTTGCCACCCCGCGATGGATCGACTATGGCAAAGTGGCCTCTCAGTGCAGCTGCGGGGAGGCCCGGGTGAGCTTCTCCATGGACGTGTTCGTGCGCATCCTGCAGCCCGAGCGCTATGAGCTGTGGAAACGCGGGCAGGACCGGACTGTTGTGGACCACGCGGAGCCCACGGCGCCGGGCAGCAGGGAGCTGAGCGCCTGGAGGGAGGGCTGCCCTGACTCTGCACCCAGCTGGCAGACATGATCACGATGGTTGTCTTTCGGAACAGGAGAGGCAGGAAAGGGCTGCGCAGGCCTGGGTCAGAGGCACCGCCCCTGGGCACAGAGTGCAGAGCTCCACACCCTGAGGTGGAGGACCAGCCCCTGGACAATGCTGGGTCCCAGAGCCCTGCAACCGGAGGCCTTGCTAAGGCTTCCGTGGCTGAGGGTCCTTTGAGGGTTTCTGGATCTTGCTTCCTCCTGTCCCTCCCCACTTCCTCCTGTTTGCCTCATGTGCACCACCACTGGACGCTCTTAATAATCATTGGAGAGAAAGGAAGAAGAAAGGAAAAAAGGAAGGAAGAAAGAATGAATCGTTGGAGCTCTGGGGCAAAGTCAAATTTACAAAACACCATTATATTCACTGAAAATAGTGAGATGATAAAACGCGGTTTACTAGCAGTGGGAAAAAACCATTTTGGAGCATGTGGCTGATCTGCTGACAATGCAATTGTATTGGAGCTGATTGAATAAAACTATTTTTTCAATCATCTCTATCATACTACTATGATGTTTCTGATAGAGCTCCAAAAACACTGCTGAAAGCAGATGAATTCCGCATCCCCGGCAATAGCATAAGTCCCCGGTTTCATTTGTACCTCTGGGATGAAAAGGATTAAGTTTGACACTAAGCAGGTTCAAAGCCTAGTTCTGTCACTCACTACAAATTAGGGGAGTTTGAGCAAGTGGATTCCCTCTCTCCAATTCCTCATCTACAAACCGGGTTCCTATGCCCACTGCACAGATTGCGGTAGGGGCCTTAGTAGCTAATGTGTTAGTCTAGTGGTTAGACCATCCTTTAACAGTGCCTGCCATATACTCAGAGTTCAATTAGCGGTCATGACCATTTTATCTTGATTGCCTCTTCAGAGGCCACCTGGGAATATGAGTTCTGCGTGACCTCTGCAAAAGTCTGGGTCAGAATAAAGGGCTCAGCCGGGGTTGCTCGGTGGTTGAGCATGGACCTATGAACCAGGAGGTCACAGTTCGATTCTCCCATCAGAGCACATGTCCAGGTTGCAGGCTTGATCCCTAGTGCGGGGTGTGCAGGAGGCAGCCGATCAATGATTCTCTCTCATCATTGATGTTTCTATCTCTCCCTTCCTCTCTGAAATCAATAAAAACATATTTTAAAAAAGAATAAGGAGGATTTTTAGCTGAGCACCTTAGGAGCATAAACATAGAGGTGAAAAGTCCAGAGGGGACCTGTGATTACCGTGGGGAAGGGAGCTGGAACTTTGTCAGGTCATGGAACTGTGTGCATGTGCATGTGTGTGTTGCCTCCTTCTGTTTTCCTGCAGCGCTAAGCAGTGAAGCCTTTGTTTTCTTCTTGGAGCAACAAGGGAGTAGGGAGATGGGGAGTTTTTACCTTGGAGATAGAAGGATAAGAAGGGTGAGCCCATGAAGAGGGAGGAAGATGGGCACTAGAGAGAAGGAAGGAGACAGGTGGCCTGCCTGGGTCTAGGCGGGGCTGGGGGGCTTAGCTACCATGAAGGTTTGGTGCTATTCCTCACCCAGTGCTGACAGGGGGACTTCTCCTTTCTCTCAACAGTACAACCAGGACTGTGGAGTGAGATTCTGGTGTCTGGAAGTGCCCAGGGCTGTGTGGCAGGGGCTCTGCCTGCCTCCTACTAGGGCTTCTGCTGTAAGATGGGCTTCAGGACAGTGGGCTGCTGACATCTCTGGGGATCTGAGACTTGCTGTTGGCCCAGGAAGACAATCAGTCCTGTGGGTGAAGAAACCTCTGTCGTAAGAGGAATTGCGATAAAGAGTTTGAAAGGTTGACGTCACTGCAGTGCCAGGCACGGTGAAGGGAGTTCGCGCCCTGAGCCGGGTCCTCAGATTGGCTGCCCTAAAACAGAAGCAGTGGATGAAGCCCTAGCTTTCTACTTGGAGTTGTCCCCCCACTTCTGTCACTGCATTGCTGCCCCTTCTTGTCACTTCAGTCTTCCCATCAGTGAACCCAGTGCCACAGCCTGCTCCAGAGTGGTGGCTGTGACAACTGAGCCAGATTTCCCGGGCTGAGCTGCTCCCTGCGTGGTCACCGGCTGTCAGGCAATCATCCCTGACCTGGCTCCAAAGAGTCCTTCCTCACCATCTAAGAGAGGGTGGCTCCAGGAAAGTCTGACCCTGCTTGTCCATTACTAATGGCCTTTTGTCCTTGGTATGGGCAATTCTAGAAAGGCTATTCCTCTGGAAAGTGATAATAATTCTCTATTTGTTATTCCTTCCCTGTGGCCTCCCCCGCAGCCTCTTATTTTTCTTTTAATGGTGAAATGAATAAATGATGCTGCTGTTGATGCAGCTTTATGTTTTCCCTCCATCCACAAATTCAGTCTGTTGACATTACCACTCTGTATGCATCTGTGCAAAGTTGATTCTGAATTGTGATTGTGTTTAAAGCAAACCTTTCCCTGCCCAGCTGGCATGGCTCAGTGGTTGAGTGTGGACCTATGAACCAGGAGGTCACGGTTCAATTCCAGGTCAGGGCACATGCCGGGGTTGCAGGTTCGATCCGCAGGAGGGGTCATGAAGAGGCAGCAGATCAATGATTCTCTCTCATCATTGATGTTTCTCTCTTTCTCTTCCTCTCCCTTCCTCTCTGAAATCAATAAAAATATATTTTAAAAAAATACAACAAAAACCTTTCCCTAGTCACTGTTTTACCTTTCTGGCAGTTAGTTTGATGGAAGAACGGCATTTGAACCTGTGCTTTGCCACTGTCTAGTCATGTGACCTTCAGCAAAAGATCGTGGATATTCTCAGAGCCAAAATTACAGAGCAAGCGTTTTGTGGGATGTAAATGTGGTGGGATGCAGGAGGTGCTGGATTAATTTGGATGTGCACTCATTCACTCTCCCTAGCACAAGATTAAGGACATACTTTGCTATTTTCTCTTTCCATGATGCGAAGGCATACTGTTGCTCCTACCACCACCCCATAGGCTTACCCATTACTTTTAAAATTTTAATTAATAGACTTTATTTTTTAGAGCACCTCACAGCAAAATTAAGCTGAAAGTACAGACAATTCCCACATACCACTGCTTCCTTCACTAGAATCCACACCAATTTAGTACATTTGTTACAACCGATGAGCCTACATTGACACACCATTATCCTCCAAAGTCTACATTATCCTCCACAGTTTACATTAGGGTTCATTCTTGGTGTTACACATTCTATGGGTTTGACAAACGTACAATGACATGTATCTGCCCTGACCCTACCATACGTAATAGCTTTGCTTCCTAAAAATCCTCTGCCTATTATCTCCCTCCCAAACCCCAGGCAACGACCGATCTTTTCACTGGCCCCATAATGATGTTTTTTCCAGAATGTCATATAATTGGGATCATACAGTATGTTGTCTTTTCAGATTGACTTATTCCACTTAGTAGTAAAATGCATGTAAGTTTCTTCCATGTCTTGTAGCTCTGTAGCTCATTTCTTTATCTTGCTGAATAACATTCTATTGTATGGATGTACCACAGCTTATCCATTCACCTACGGAAGGACATTTGGTTGTTTCCAAGTTTCGGCAATTATGAATAAAACTATTACAAATTCTCATGTGCAGGTTTTTGTGTGGAAGTAACTTTTCAACGAATTTGCACTTGCTGTATCATATGGTAGGACTATATTTAGTTTCGTAAGAAAATGCCAAACTGTCTTCCACCCATTATTTTTACTGGTACAAAACTGTTATTTTTTCTCATGATCTACCACATAGTATTTGTACAAAAGGTGACACATGCTCATTTGCAGATTCCACTCCTTGTCGTGTTTGGCTGGGTTGCAATGTTACCAAGGCAAGGTCAAGATTTCATAAACAGTCAGGAGCCAGAAGACCCAACCTTTATTCAGACTCCTACACTGACTTGTTGAGTCATCTTTCAATAAATCAGCTCTTTCCTTTTATCTTCACTTCCCCATTTAGTCAAAGGGAGCCCTTAGCCGAGCTGCACCTGTGCTGGCGTTTGCCCGCAAGTTCAGACCAGTGCCAACATAATTTGTGCTAATATTAGCTATTATCATCATTACTTATAAGCCAAAACTCATAAGAGCGACATTAGAAGTTGTACTTGAATGCAATTTGGAGAGTTGGTGTTTGGGTCGTGGGACTCCTGTAAGATTTATAAACAGTTTTAGTTATGGATTTGTCTGGCCGCACCGAGTCATTCATAAAGATTAACCAATACATCAACCTGGTTCCTGTGTGTGTAAGGAGTCCTTTTCAGATATTTAAAAATAACCTCGTGATATTTATTTCCCTGGATTGTGGTTATATATGAGTTCAAAGTTGTTTCTCTGCCCCGCCCCCACCCCCAATGTTGGTGTTACCTTTCATCCCTTTAAATAGGAAACCACAAACAGTTGCTAGGAATTGGCTGCAGAGATAAGTGGAAAGAAAACCCGATCTGAGCAGATCAGAGCCCTGGGGAGGAACCGCCCCTCACTCCAGCTGCCTTGCCCGCCCCAGCTCTGCGCACCCGACTCTCAAACTGAAATTCCTCACATGCTCCTGTTGCCCCTCCTCGCCACTGACTCTGGGTAACTGCGGTCCAACGGTGAGACCCCTGTTATTATTCTAGTATTATTTTGGTGGATCTTTCGGAGAGAAGCCATTTCAGGGAGGACCTAAGAGGGAGAGAACTGAGCACTGTGGGGGAGGGAGTCATTGTTGGGAGTGCCACCCTACCCCCCACCCCCCAAAAAAGTAACATTTGTGTTGCTGGGTTTCTGCATTTTCTTTTTTGGTTAAGCCTCACCTGAGGATATTTTTCCATTGATTTTTAGGGAGAGTGGAAGGGAAAGGGAGAGACAAACATCGATGTAAAAGAGACACATCGGTTGGTTGCCTCATACACCCCAACCAGGGCCAGGGAACCTGCAACCAAGGTCTGTTTCTTTGACCGGAATCAAACCTGGGACCCTTCAGTCCGTGGGCCAATGCTCTATCCACTGAACCAAACTGGCTAGGACA